TTATTGATCTAAAATCTCTGTTTTCGAGGGAAAACAATACCCTTGTACTGCATATATTTATATTTCTTGTTAAGTATATAATCTACTGGTCTAATATCATATACAAACAACCAGTAATCTCACATACTGTCTGCATTTTAATCATGTGTGCCGAACAGGCAAATTGAGCACAAAAGCTACAGAGTTCTTACTCCACGTACTGATATAGTCTTGTCAAATCATATATACAACATAAACAAAAACAAACGGCTTAATGGAATGACCGCTAAGTTGGCTGGCATTCCAAACATTATTTTAAGTTTAACTTCACAGGCAAACAATTTGGATTCCAGTGAGCTGTCAACGTCACATACTATATAGCATGGCGACTAGAGATTGCCTGACCCACGCATATAAACTTTATTTTCATATATTCACCTAAAGATATACGACTGACCAGCTCCTGGCTGAAACTTTAATCTCACATATTGGTTTAAATTTTAAAATCACATATACTGATACACACGACAATACCACCTAACATACAAACTGAGGACCTTCTAGATGACTTATATAATTACAGTTATAATGGACTCAATTAATCCTCCATACTGTCATTTAATCAGATACAAAGTACCTGCCAACTATACTGTCCAATTTGGTGCCCACAATTGGTTTAGATGTAGTTGTATGAAGGGAACATACAATCCTTGATCTAATGTGTCTTGGAAATAGTATGAAAATATAGTGCATGGAAGATGTTCGAGCATGTGATGTCTAGGCAAAATTTTACCGTGTTCGGACATCTCAGGAGCTCGTGGCAAAAAGACAAAATCGGTCCAAACAGTGCGCAAACAGTAAACTATCTCACATACCCCAATTTTGTCTTTTTTTCGGAGAGCTATTCAATGGTCCAAACACGGTGAAATTTTTCATGGACATAAGCACTCCAACATCTTTCATGCAAAAAATCTGTTTTTTTTTAATTTTCTGTTCACCCACGCGAACAAATACACGTGAGAGCCAAAACGGCGCGTCCCTTTTGTTTGATCATTATCTAACCACTCTTACTAGAAGTAAATAACAATAATATATACCATGTTCTAGTACCTAATAAAGAATTCTTCTTCTTTATCATGTCACATCAGATGAAAAAGCAATGTAACTTTCTTTCACCTTATTTGTTACCCCACTGCAGATGTACAATTCCCATGTGATGATTTCATCATTCATTTGACCATTCTAGTATGTTAGTAAACCCAGCACAAGGGGTTTTCTCCATGACCTTGTACAAAGGCTCTTTTCACCGACCTTGCCCTTTGCATGAAAAAAGGATAGAAAATTATATCTGTGTCGAGAGCTTAGGAACATTGATTTGTTTTTATTTTTTGAAGGAGCTCGACCGAGCCCACATTTTCATTCGTGATGAAATTGCTTATACAATATTCAGTTCTTTGGGTCAAGAAAGAGAAGAAGAAAAGCATGCCATAAGCTAAATTAAACTCCCATGTGACATGACGCAAGATGAACATTTGTTGCTTTCCACCGCACCAGAAAATCAACAACCAAAAAGCAAATCTTAGCAACTTCAAACCTTTCTTAAGCTTTTACGTACAAGAAGAAACAGGACACAAACAGCTAAACATGATGCCACAATTAAGTTTGCCCTGATGGAACGACCTTTGCATTTTAGAATTCGATGTTTTCGTACTTCAAAAAAGAAGAGGTGTTAAGATTGATATCATTCTATCGTCGAGCACTTCTCATTTGCAGCAGAACCTCCCGTACACTATCATAGTACGTTTGACCATCAGCGGGGTGGATTGGTGTCATTTCCGTAGACCTAGGACACCAATATATGGAACCATCATCTGCGAAAAATGCTGTAATTTACTCTACTTTATTTTGTGTGTCGTCAAGAGTCATGTTATAAAATCAAATTTTAAAATAAGGTAGGATGTTGCTCGTGCAATAGCGAGGCCGGTATATATGCTAGTTCTTATAAAAATATAAATTGCTCCCATGTTAAATACTCCGTCCTTTCTGGTTTATAGGGCTCAAATCTGAAATCTCATTATGTGGTGAGTGGAGGAATGTATCTTGTACTGTACTTTACAAAACTACCCAAACTAAATTGATGCATTAATTGAGATTAATTGCAGTGCATGTATGCTTGGCCACTAGATGAGTAGTAGCATTACATGCATGGTGAGTTCTTTTTAATTCTTGCATGCAAAGATTTAATGCGCCTCCGAATCTTAAAAGGAAACGGAGGTGAGCCCTTTAAATTGGAAAAAGGAAAAATGAGATAAGCCCTATAAACTGGAGGAGGGAGTAGCAAACAAGTGCAACATCTCCATTTGATATATATATATATATATATATATATATATATATATATATATAAAACTAAGTAACAATTCTTGACCAAAATTATTATTGTAGGGCATTAATTATAGCGCCGCACACCACCCTTCTTGGTGACAGAGGGACCAGCTTCGTGGTCATTTTGGCTCTCCCTTTCCTTCTTCATAAGACTTGTAATTTCGGCGATTAGGTCTTCCTTCTCGATCACATATCCATGGACAGTGTCTCTGATTGGCATCAGTCTATCCAGCGAGAGGCAAATTGCCCTCTCCTCCATGTCGATGATTTTTTTGTTGATCAACCTAATCTGCAGAGTAAATTAAATGCCACATAAAATGTATTAAACATTTATCTGCAATATGCACTGCTCATGGAATATAAAAATATATATATGCACAATTATGTACCCAGCGCAATCTTTGGGTGAGGCCATTCCTACGACAAAACAGCCTGATGGCGGAAGATATATCCAATTCATTTTGAGCCTTCTCCTTTTGCTCGCGCAGGTAGTGCCGCACCTCCTGCTCCTTGCTCCTCCTTGCCGTTCTCTCTTTCTCCCTAGTGGTAGTGGGCCTGCTTGAGTGCACCAAAGCACTCTCACTAGACTGCTGTTCTAGGATGACTGGGAAAGGCTGGGGAATATCAGGCATTGTTGTCTCAGAAAACAGGTTTGTAGCGGCCTCCAAGGCTGGCGGCTGCAGGGCTGGAGGTAGTGGTGGCGCCGATGCTTGAACTGCAACATACGTAAAAATTATAATCGTGGATGCACAAATGGATTGTGTGCGTGAAAAAGTCAAAACATATTCACGGATTTACAAACCATTTTCGTCAGTGTGGCCATTCAAGATCGATAACAGCATTGATATTTCCTTCTGCTGATATGCGTCATTAACTACAGGAGGCCAGTTGATGTTGATATTCAGTGGGGCTTCGTTGGAGTCCTCAACTGTACATATCGCTCTCTCCGACGTGATGATGCTTGTCATGAGTTTGAGCACCCACTCGCCAGCATGGCGGCGGAAACTGAATATAGGATGAAACGAAATTAGGGTTGCTACATGCATTTCAGGGGTAATTAGGTCATGAGTAACCTAGAATTAATGAATGAGTCTGAGACACTTACTTTATGTATTCGGTCGTGGTCTGTTCGCCAACATAATGGCGATCAAGGATAGCATGTTCAAACGTTCCACGGGTCTTACTCGCATGCAGAAAGAGGCGGAATAGTCGAGTCTCTGCAAAATTACATTTGGAAATTCTTTCAAGGAATGAATGTTGCGATCAGTCTTGCAAGGTACTAGAAAAAATTATCGTTTCGACCAATCTGGATGAAATGAGTCTCAGCGGCTGAATGCATGCATGCATGCTTACCATTTCGGGACCTGATTTCCCTGACGACAAAGCAGTCGGTGCATTGCAGTCGCCCTGGAAGGAGCGGCACGAACCCTTCTTCATCCTCCTCCATGGAGCCAACCTCTGGAGCATTATTTGTACCGCTGCCACCGGTTTGGTATAGTTCGTTCTCCATGGAGCCAACGTTTGGAGCACCAATGGCGCCGCTGCTGCCGCCGGCTTGGTTTACTTCGTCTCCGGTGAGCGCCTTAGCAATATCACAATGACCATGCCGCGCGAAGAACTCAGGGTCCATCAGCTGGAGACTGTCCGGGGAAGAAGAGGTCGGCTGGCCTAGTATTCGTTGGTGTATGGCGGCCGTCCCCGGCACCTGATCGGAGGGCGCCGCCTGGATATTGGGGTGAGCGTGAGCGAGGTGCACCGGCATCAGCATCTGCCCGTCGAAGCCATAGGCGGACGACTCGCCCGGTGTTTGCTGGTATTGGACGGGCGGTAGCGGCGGCGTCTGAAACTGCATGGAACCAAACATTTGGTTACAGAAGAGCAGGCACGGACGTAATCGTTCGTAGGACCTATGCCACAGCAGGCTGAAGTACGTACCTGAGCCTGATCGTCGTTGTCGTTGGTCACCGTATCCGTATGTGGCATGAGGAGAGGTGCCGCCGGCGGATTCTGCTGGGGTTCGGCGGTGACGGCCGTGTGAACCATGAAATCCTCTTCGTCCAAGGCGTCGAGGTCGAGGAACTGCTCGATGTCGAAGTAGCCGTAGTTTGCGTCGGGCAGTGTATCTGAATTGACGAAATGAGTCGCCAGAGGATCCTGCTGGGCCGCAGAAACCATGAATCCCTCTTTGTCCAAGGCGTCGACGTCGAGGAACTGGTCGACGTCGAAGTCGCCGTCGTACTCCATGGCAACTCGCTGGAGGAGAGCGTCGAAGGAAAGGCCTGGATCACTGGTGAGCGTAGGCGTGGTTTGGGGGGAAGTTGGGAGGGATCTCTACGACGGCGGGGAGAGGGTTATATACGGCGGAGGAGCGGGAGTTAGCGCGCTGTTCGAGTGCAGTGGATGCGGCGGTTGCCGCGCGCGCGCCCCGCATCTTTTGTTTGCCTCGTAAAACTTTGTGGTGCCTCTTTTCTTTCTTAATTTGCTTGCGTGCTAGTTTTTCTCCTTAATTTGGCTCGTATCATGTACCGCGTACGATACACACTTTACAGCATCTCGATCGATCATTTTCCAGGCTTGTTATGTTACTGAAAAGAGGATGAAGATTAAACTTTTTTTTTTGCGATGGTGAATTTTTTTTATTCCATATGAATAGGGCTACAATCGAGAAGTAATAAATCCTCGACACAAGGTGGTCCTCTTGCTAGCCATACAGCAGTAATACTCTCCGTACGACTATACAAAGCCAACCGATCTGCTACCCTATTTTGCTCACGTTTAATTTTCGAAGGAATAAAAACTCTATCATCCATGAGATGACGGATTTCCGCTACCAGATGTCCATAAGCCGAACTGCTGAGATGCTCTCCTGCCAAAGCGGCCAGTGCCACCGAGGAGTCTGATTGAACGACGATGGGTAGCGTGCAATGTTGAATAGCTAACGCCATACCCTGCATTATTGCATGTAGCTCCGCCTCCAATGCCTCATTGCAGTTGAAGATGCATCGATACGCCGCAAAGATGACACTCCCGTCATGCCAGCGCAAAACCATTCCGGCCGCCGCCGAACCATCTATAGAAGAGAAGGACCCATCAACCGACAATGCCGCCTGATCAGCATTTGGTCGTGGCCGTGGCAAGCAGGCTTCTTTCAGCACGACTGGCCGCTCTTGACTTACCGGCATCTTCCCTTTTATGATCTGCTCTGTTGTATACCTCCTGGACCACTCTAGCGATTGCATGTAGCTCTGGAGGTATGTCACAGTCGCTGCCACCGGTGGAACTTCCTTCCCATGCGCCACATCAGACCGCAAATTCCATATCCTCCATAGCATCATAATCTGGGAATCCCGCATCATGTCGTCGCAGTTTGCCAGGACATTTAACAACCAATCTTGCCCAGAATCCCGAAGGAGCTCTTGAGCTGGTAACCTCCATACTGCGCGCATCTGGGTCTGTACTTGGCGAGCATGAGTGCATGTCACCAGAGCATGAAAACTACTCTCCTTTTCCCTTCCGCACAGAGGACAGCTATCTCTAGTAGAGATATGTCTATATTTCTTGCAAGCATTAGTTGGGAGAGCTCCAGACACCACTTTCCAGGCCAAAATCTTCATCTCGAGGGGCACCTTGACCCCCCATATTATTTTCCAGATTGATCTCTGGACGTTCGGCCTGCTGCTTGATGCGCCTAGACTGAGTGAGGACTCATGAGCAAGTCGATAAGCCGACCTAACTGTAAACATACCACTCTTCTCCGGAAACCATGCTAGGAAATCCTGGCCGTTTCTCGGCGATGTTCTTATCTTTAAGATTTCTCGCACGTCCAGATCCCAAAAGTGTTCTCGCAGCCTTTGCACATTCCATGCCCCATGATCATCAATAAAATCGGCCACCCAATTGAATCTACAGTTGCGCTTTGGTGTTACTGGCCGATAATCATTTCCCCTTGGCATCCAAGGATCTCACCATGTCTTGACTAAGGTACCATCACCCACACGCCAAATAATGCCTTTTTTCAATAGGTCCAGTCCGTGGACTATCCCCCTCTATATTGCGGATGAGCTCGCGGGAAACATTGTATCAAGTAAATTACCATGAGGATAATACTTAGCCCGTAGTAATCTATTACACAAGCTGTCCTGGCTGTCCAACAGGCGCCAAACTTGCTTAGCAAGAAAAGCTTGGTTAAACGCCCTCATATCCCTAAACCCCATGCCACCCATAGACTTGGGTAATGTCATTTTCTCCCAGCTGAGCCAAGCCATCTTCCTCTTGCCTTTCTTCACCCCCCACCAGTACTGCCTCATCATTCTTGTTAATTCATCACAAACAGACGCCGGTAGACGGAACACACTCATAACATAGGTTGGGATTGCTTGTGCCACTGCCTTTATCAAGATTTCTTTGTTGCCTGAAGACACATACTACTCACTCCAATCCACAAGCCCTTTCCTTAATCTTTCCTGATTAGTTTCAAATTGCCCAAGTACTTGGGTTCAAATACCTGTTGCGAGATATCCAAGGTACTCTTCACTTCATCCGCCTCCGCCCCATCGCAATTGTCAGAAATTAGGATGGAACACTTCTCAGGGTTGATAAGCTGACCCGTTGCATTAGTATAAGTGTTCAACAAACCTTTAACAATGCCTGCTTGTTGGCCTGAAGCCTCAAATAACAACATAGTATCATCTGCAAATAACAGATGAGAAATCACCGGTGCCCCTCGGCATATAGAAACTCCCCTCAATTCCCCTCCATCAACTGATTTAGAGATAAGAGCAGACAGGGCGTCAGCAACAAAGAGGAATAAGAACGGGGACAAAGGATCACCTTGCCGGAGTCCCCTAAACGGGGAAAAGACCTCCAATAGTTTCCCATTGAATTTTACTGAGTAAGTGACTAACTTAACACATGTCGTAATCAAAGTTAGCCACTCCACTGAGAAGCCCCATTTCGTTAGGACCTGCTCCAAAAAATCCCAATCAACCCGATCATAATCCTTTGACAAGTCCAATTTATATGCAGATGCTACTCTACTGTTTGGCTTCAGATATGTATATGATGGATACACTCAAAAGCAATTATAGAGTTATCCAATATAAGCTAGCCTGGGATAAATGCAGTTTGGTTTTTAGAGATCAGCTCTGAAAGCAAAGGACGAAGGCGATTCACCAAACACTTAGACACGATTTTATAAACCACATTGCATAAACTTATCGGCCGAAAATCCTTAAGTTCCTTAGGATGAGGGACTTTTGGAATAAGGACAATCGCCGTGGCATTAACACCCTCCGGCATCACTCCCGACCTGAAAAAAATCCAAGACGGCCGCAACAATTTCAGATTTCAAAACAGCCCAGTTACGCTGGAAAAACCTAGCAGGGAGTCCATCCGTTCCAGGTGCTTTCAAAGGCCCTATTTGGAACGGAGCATTCTACACCTCCTCCTTCAAGAATGGGGAGCATAGGGGATCATTCATTTCTTGCGTAACTTTTGGTATAATGCTCTGCAGTACAACCTCCGATGTCAAGGTCAGATCTTTCGTATAAACTTCCTTAAAGTAGGACGTAGCCATGCGTTCCATATCTGTCGGAACGGAACACCAAGAGCCATCGGTACGTCGTAGCCGCCGAATATAGTTTCTCCGCGCACACCACACCGCTCTCCGATGGAGGTATGTTGTATTTCTCTCGCCCTCTTTTAGCCACGTGATCCGCTATCGCTGTAGCCAAAGCATCTCCTCTCTATATAATAACTCATCAATGTGTTGCATTTTCTGCCATAATACAGCCTTGTCCGCATCCTGCAACTGCAAGTTTGTAAGCTCGTGATGCAACTTCTCCAATTCAGAAGTAACATGCCCAAAGTTTTCCTTACTCCGCACGCGCAACCCATTCATCATCTCCTTTAATGTGTCTTGGACAGCACCCCGGTTCCCCGCAGGCTTGCTTTTCCCCCAACTCTCAGTCACCACGGCACCTAACGCGGGGTGTCGCTCCCACATTATTTCATATCTGGGTGAAGCTCTAGTCCGCTAGGGTTCACCCTGTGCATATTGAACAAGCACCGGGACATGATCTGAGCATGACGATGCTAGGTGCCTCACTCGCGTGAAAGGGAACATATCCCTCCATGCTTCGTCGGCAGATGCTCTGTCCAGTCTGACCCTGACATTACCATCATCCTGTTGACCATTGTCATAAGTGAACAGAATTCCAGAGAAACCCAAATCCATAAGCTCACAGGACGTGAGTCAGTCCCTAAACAATAGCATATGACTTTCCGCTCGTTGAACACGCAAGAAGTGTTCGTGCTGCAACATTGCTTCATTGAAGTCTCCACACACTAGCCACGGTTCCGCTGAAATCGCTCGGAGTGTTGTCAAGGAAGTCCACATGCGATGGCGGTTCTCCACCCGTGGTTCGCCATACACAAAAGTAGTCCTCCAGGATTTATCATTAGCAATATTCACAATCTGCACATCAATATTACCACGCACATGTATCCAAAACTGTCACCTGTAACTTCTCATCCCAGTAGAAAGCAAGCCCCCCACTGCGGCCATCACTAGATACACCCACGAACCCCTTCATTTGTAGTCTCCAATTTAGTATCTCCATCTTATTTGAGGCTTGACGTGTTTCCGAAAGAAAAATCAGCCCCGGGGAATTGAATTTTGAGAGGGCCAAAACCTCGCGAACTGTCCAGTGGTCCCCCCTGGCTGTTCCACATTAACAGACTCATTGTACCCGGTGGTCCTCCTTGAGGGAGGCCACCGATCTATCACCAGAAACTCCTTCAGAATAAACTCGAGCTCTCTTAGTATTTGAACTGCTTGCAGGAGACTTGTCCTCATCCCCGTCCTCATCTAGTCCTTGGGTTAAAGCCAACACACCCCCAGAATTTGGGTTGATCTTAATACCTGTCTCTGAATTTTCGAGCTCCATGGCCAGTCTTTTCCTAACAGATGGATCCACCTGCATATTCACCTAGCCTTCCTTCACTGGGCTGGAAGTAGTATCCTGAACTTCAGGATCCACGCATGCCTTCCAGGTCTTATTTTTCTCTTGGGAATAATCAGTACGTTTATGTTCACTACCTCGACCAAACACATCCTCCGAACGTGTCTTGTTTGTGCCATCTGCATAGAGCCAAGCTCCAAATTTCTTTTATTTCTCCTCATGCACACCAGTACCACACTCCTTCAAGTCATGTCCAACTATTCCACACACACTACAGAATCGAGCCAGCTTTTCATAGCGCACTAAAAACACCTGCCGCTTCTGGCCTGTAACAATACTGACATACTTTGTGAAGGGTTCGTGAATATCATGACGAACCCTAATTCTGACATAGTCTCCACGGGTATTTCCGTTTAATCTCATCTCCATGATTTCTCCAGCGTTCTTGAGTAGCGAGTCGACAATACTTCTCTTGCAGAATCCGTCTGGGAGTTTCTTGATCTACAGCCAAATTGGCATAAACACCATCGGCACCTCCTCTGCCTTCGTGAATCCATCGTATGGGCACGTCAGCACAATCCAGTTCCTAAACAACCATGGGCCTTGCTCGAGTATGCGCTCCCAATCTCCTAGGCATGATGCCTGCACAACAAACAGATTGGGACCGACCGACCGAAACCTTACATGCTGCGCCGTATTCCACGCCGCCCGCATATCCTTGTAGAAGGCTGCCTGGCTGAAGCTTTTCTCCGTGTGAACCCTCTCAAGGGCCAACCATCTCACGCTCTCATTGATCACAGGATCTTCCTCATCAATCACCAGATCGTCAAAGTCTGCATCGTCCAGATTGAGTTGCTCTAGGAAATCACCCAGGTCCGGCCTCCTGGCGGTGCCACCGCCCCCGCTGGTTCCAGATTGGGCGTCCGCTGCAGGTTCCATCACTACCCGGGGGCTAGGGCACGGGCAGCATACTCGTAAACCCCACGCGAGGG